CACACCGGTGTGATCGTACGCTCCAGGGACCAGCCAAGACTGATCACACTGGTGTGATCGTACGCGTTAAAGGGTTAAAACATTTTTGTAAATCAAAATAAAACTGAAATAAAATAAAATATAAATATTAGATAAAAACTTTTGTTGCCTGAAAGTTTAAGCCCTAAAATTGCTAACTGAAAACTAAAACTGATATAAAATTACAAAATTTTAAATAAAAACTATTTAAACCAGGGGTGCCCAAACTCAGTCCTGGAGGGCCAGTGTCCTGCAGAGTTTAGATCCAACTTGCCACACCGGCCCTCCAGGACCGAGTTTGGGCACCCCTGATTTAAACTAATATTTTTTTTAAATGACAAAAGCACATAACAAAATTACAAAAAAATTCAACTACAATTAAAATTAGCACTAAAAATATAAACATAAAAGACAATTCAAAATATTAATGAAAACTATAATAGTATATACGATTCTAAAATAACACTGGTATAAATGATATTATGGTGCCTTAGAAGGCAAACAAAACACTCTGTTGAGTAACTAGTCGAATGGGCAGCGAGGCAGCAAAACTGCCTTTAGGTTGACTTCACTGAAAGAACACTCTGGGCCCAGGTCTACTATTTTAAATCAATTATCAAGCATAATCATATTATTCATGAATCATTAATCTCCAGCCACTGCCCACAGCAATAGGATGGGCCAGGGAGCATAATGGGAAAGTAAACCTCAGTACTGTCATTCAAAGAAATGAAGAACAACTATAGACACATACTGTAGAGTATTAGATGCTATCATGTGTTTCTGGTTTGGGATGAAGCAGCGCCGTCGATTCCATCCCTTTCAGCAAACATGTCCACAGTGACTTTAATTAAAAGTGCCTGCTTTAATTTGTGGTGTGCAATAAACGGATTACAGCAGTGGTGATTTCAGTCCTGAAACCTCTGAACCTCTTAACCGGTCTTGTGAAAAAGAGCTTCACTTGAACACCCTCACATGCTTTTTACTGGGCTACTTTCTATGTGCTATCTTTCATTTTCTCTCCATCTAAAATGGTTGAGGTCACCTTGAGTCTGTTTCTATTTGAAAGTCATAACAGTAGAGTCCCTGTACTTACTTTCTCTTGTTATTTTTCTTTTTCTTTCTTGTCTCTCTCTTTTTTCTCTTTCTTTTTGTTTTATCTGGGAAAAAAACATTTTGCTGACGTTTGCACATCTATTTGGAGGAGACGTTTGGATAAAATCTACTTACACGCATATGCGCGCACACACACTCGGGCAACCGCACACCGACCGTATGAGTGTACACTGGAGGAAAATTCAGCAGATCCAGCCAGCGTTAGCCCATATTTAAACATAGATTCCTGAGCAACCAAAATCCTGTAAAACCATATACCATATCAAGAGATGTGTGAAATATAATATAGTTTAAAAGTTCATAGTAATAGGACATGTCAAACATACTTGAAACAAATTGAAACTCTTTCTGACAATAATGAGTCTTGAATAAGTAAAGTGACCCGTGGATCACTGAGCCACTAACTACATTTACACCACTGTTCTAAAGTTTGTGATAAGATGTTTTTGAAAGAAGTCTCTTATGCTTAACCAGGTTGCATTTACTTGATCAAGTAAAAACAACTGTGAACTATTATTACAACTAAAGAATAACAGTATTTAAACTCCATTTTTATAGATTTTCAAATGCAATTTTTTCTTGTGATGGAAAAGCTGAATTTTCAGCATCATTACTCCAGTCTTCAGTGTCACATGATCCTTCAGAAATCATTCTAATATGCTGATTTGATATCCAAGAATGAACATCTCATTATAATCAATGTTGAAAACATTTGTGCTGTTTAATTTTTTTTTTGTGGAAACCATTATACATTTTTTATTACTCTTTGATGAATTCACATTTCACAGCACCTCTCTTTTTTGGAGTATGTGCACAACACCGAGTCCAATTTTAGATTAAATCACATCATGTAGGTCTGTTAGTCCGATTTTTCAAAAATCAGAATGGTGCAAGTTTAAGCTTTTAAAAAAAGAAGAATTACTGCCTTAGACCGACTGAAACCCAACTTTTGAAGTGCATGTACATAAACTTATTGAAAGTGCTAATGACACTTCTGCTTTGTGGCGGCAGCTGCAGCACTAAATGTGTGTTTGTTGAGTGTGTGGCCCACCTACTGGCAACTTGCTGTGCTCTGGGATCTATTTCAAAGTATATTCACATTTTTTATATGTATAACGTACTGCTAAGGAGGAAAATGTAAGTATAGCAGGTCTTTTGTGCAGCAGAGGTCATGCATATTGACTGAGAGGGTGTCTGGCCCTATTGAAGGGAGAGCAAGTTCTGACCTGCCATAGCAGAACACATGCTCCAGACTGTTTGAGATGGCATTGAAAACTTGAGAACAGCTTTTCCAAGTCTGTGTAATTCATTCGTGGCCCCCTTTTTAGATTCGTATACTTGTCATAAACTTGTATCACTCCCAGTATTCGCCTAATTGATTTTTTGAGCGGTGTTTGGCGGCGCTCTGACTGCCTGGTTAATATGTATGCTGTGGGCTCAACCAGGCATGGCTAGCAAAAGACGGATGTTGCATAGCATATGAGTGGGTAATTGGAAAACAGGTGTGGGTTTGTGTGTGTGTGAGGCTAACCGTCTGTTTGATATCAGGAATGCCAATCCGAAAGACCATCATAGCTATGTGCGTGTCGTCAGGTGCATTGCTTGAGCTTCGCTCTCTTAGCTTCCGCTGTTGTTGCTGCTGATTAGCCTGCGTTTGGTGGGTGGGTCCAGGGTTGGACGAATACGGGTTGGCCGTGTGGCCTGGGTTGCCGGGTCGTAGCGGTCTGTCTCCTGGAATTCGTCCAGCCATTGTGCTTTTTTGCCTTTGCCCCTCTTCCCTGCCTCCTCTCAAACGCCCTGGTCCTCGCCTGATGTTATCTTCATCGTCCACATCCTCTTCGTCATCCAACTCCAGCTCTCCGTTCTCCTCCTCGCCTTCCTCGTCCACGCCATCATCATCCATTTCCTCTTCCTCCTCCTCCTCCTCCGCCCCTGGATAAAGGTGTTGACTGTTTCCCAACATCCTTTGCTGCTCCTCGTCACTGGAGAGGGGGCTGAGCGGCATCGTCATGGCGACAGGGAGAGTGGCACCAGTGGCAACGGCATCATCCCCAGAGACACACTGTGAAAAGAGAAGAGGAGTGTAAGCATGAGAAATAGCGAGAGGTGGATGATGAGAGGAGGAGAGAGCAGACTGAGAGAACAGAAGTAGGAGTTCGAGAGAATATAAAGAACAAACAATCACACATCACTCCATCATTCAGTAGCTCGCACCAAGTCGCAACAGGCCGTTCATGCAAGACGTTCTTGCATTCGTGCTGTTTTTCAACACACTAGAGTGACATCTTTGACAGTCACAGCATCTCGCTGTTTTTTAAGCGTCTCATGCCATAAGCATTACGTTTGAAACTCAGTGGAATGAAACAGAATCAAGACGAACTTCTTTTAACTTGACACAGTGTCTCAAAAACATGGCACTCATTGCTGGGGACTTCAGTGAGACATGTCGCAGTGGTAAGTGCATGTTCACAAAGAAAAACACTAAAGAACAGATACACGAATGCATCCAGTGTGAAGTCACTTAAAGGAATTGTTCTCCCAAAAATGTAAATTCTGTTATCACCATCATCATCATTACTTTAAGAAACATATTTAAAACTAGCCCGCCCCCCCCCCCCCCCCCC